TTAACATGTACGGTTATCTCCACTTTGTATTTAAAGTAATTACTATTGTAACTCAATAATACTAATTGTTAAGGTTTCTTTGAACCTATCCTCTTCCTCTTAATCTCTTAATGTATATAATATCATTTATTCATAAAAGTTTTTTTTGAGAAAAGAAAAATAGTGATGAAACTTTTTTGGGTAACAAAAAAGTTTAGGAAGAGATTGACAACTCTCATAAGGAGTGCCAAAGATGGAACTTTGTTCTCCTGTATCTCTTAGTTTTTCAAAAGTTCATTATATTATTCGACTGTAAAAAAATAAATTGATATGCTTGGGTAAGAACAAGCTAGGATTGTTGACCATGGGACAATGCCACAAGGGGGGAGGGGATGGCTTAAAACACACTCTCCGTGTGTTCAATCATGACCTTTGCCTTCTCCAATCATCTTGCTCCCATTCTCTTTTCTCACACTTTCCAGGCTTCATATGTCCAACATCATATCCCAAACAGTATCGTCGTCGTCATTATCAAACCAAGCAAGTAGCAACAGTACCATTTACCTGTGTCAATGGGACCTGCAGTCCCACATATGTTATTAATCTGCAGAGTGACAGTCAGGAGAATCCAATAGATTGATTGGTATATCTTTAGTGTCAATAATCATTTAACGGGAACAAATCAATAGACTGTGATTACAAAAACAAGAAGGAAAAAAAACTCTATACCTAGTAAAGAAATGTAAACTCGTCAATCTAATGGATATTCATGTTTCCATTAATATGCGAATTCTTACTTGAAATAAACTACGGTTTTGAAACTAAACTGTGAGTAATTTAAGACTCAAAGACTCAACAAATATAAAGAGTTGTGCTAGCATTGGTCTTAAAAATTTAGAAAATATGAGAAGTGAAGATTGATTGGATTTTGTTTTTGCTCTGCAGGATTTCGGACTGACCTACAATTCACTGCGGGTAAATTACATAGTAGCCCCTCAGGTTTGAGGTCTATTGCAATCTTATACAACATCTTTAAAACATTTCACTTTCATACCTCAAGTACTATTTTATTTCAATTTCATACAACCGTTACATTTTCCATCCATGGATCTGTTAAATGCTGACGTGGCTGTCACATATATGCCACGTGGCCGCCAAATGTCTGCCACGTGGCAAATAAAATAATTTTTAATTTAAAAAAAAAAAACCTGTTTGCCACTTTTTTTTTTTTTTTTCTCTTTCTTCTTCTTCTCTTTCTTCTTCTTCTTCTTCTTCTTCTTCTTTTTCTTCTGGGTTTGGTCCCTTTTTTTTTTTTCTTCTTCTTCTTCTTCTTCCTCCTCCTCCTCATTCTCTTCTTCTTCTTCCTCCTTCTTCTTTTGGGTTGTAGGGGGTTCGATCATTCTTTTTTTTTTCTTTTTTTTTCTTCTTCTTCTTCCTCCCCCTCCTCTTTCTTCTCTTCTTCTTCTTCTTCCTCCTTCTGGTTCGGTCCCTTTTTTTTCTTTACTTCTTCTTCTTCCTCCTCCTCCTCTTTCTTCTTCTCTTCCTCTTCTTTCTTCTTCTCTTCTGGGTTCAGTCCCTTTCTCTTCTTCTTCTTCTTCTTCTTCTTCTTCTTCTTCTTCTTCTTCTTCTTCTTCTTCTTCTTCTTCTTCTTCTTCTCTTCTTCTTCTTCTTCTTCTTCTTCTTCTTCTTCTTCTTCTCTTCTTCTTCTTCTTCTTCTTCTTCTTCTTCTTCTTCTTCTTCTTCTTCTTCTTCTTCTTCTTCTTCTTCTTCTTCTTCTTCTTCTTCTTCTTCTTCTTCTTCTTCTTCTTCTTCTTCTTCTTCTTCTTCTTCTTCTTCTTCTTCTTCTTCTTCTTCTTCTTTCTTCTTCTTTCTTCTTCTTCTTCTTCTTCTTCTTCTTCTTCTTCTTCTTCTTCTTCTTCTTCTTCTTCTTCTTCTTCTTCTTCTTCTTCTTCTTCTTCTTCTTCTTCTTCTTCTTCTTCTTCACTCCTCCTCCTCTTTCTTCTTCTTCTCTTCTTCTTCTTCCTCCTTCTTCTTCTGGGTTGCAGGGGTTCGGTCCCTTTTTTTTTCTTCTTCAAATTTCAGGTTTTTTTACAAAAAATAAAAAAATTATTTTATTTGCTACGTGACAGACATTTGGCAGCCACATGACATATATGTGGCAGCCACATGACATATATGTGGCAGCCACGTCAGCATTTAACAGATCCATGGATGGAAAATGTAACGGTTGTATGAAATTGAAATAAAATAGTACTTGAGGTATGAAAGTGAAATGTTTTAAAGATTTTGTATAAGATTGCAAATAGACCTCAAACCTGAGGGGCTACTATGTAATTTACCCATTCACTGCTGCTATTACTTGTGGTTATCTGTGTCTGCGTGTCCCAGTATATGATAAACATGGTCTATCATGGCATCAAAAGTCAAGATTGCGATGCCATAGACATAAGGTAGCTGAAGCCTGAACTACTATATCGGCATGGCTCGCCATGAGTCACGGGTAAAGATGCAGTTCCAACCAAGCGATAGGTGATTAGAAAGCGTGTGATTCTACACTTTCTTCTATGGCATATCAAACAGAACATAGCTGATTAATTTTCTGCATAATTTGTAAAATAATAACGAGCAATGCTTTACCTCCAAGGAATGCGTAGTACGTACAATAATTAGATTAATGAAGTTTTAACAAAACACTTCCGATACTATTCACTTTTAACGAAAAATCATATTTTTACCTTTAACTGACACTATTCACTATACCTTTAAAAAAAGCTTTTCGTTAAAAGAGAAGTTTTTATGGACTTTTCGTTGGTTTTTCTTTAGATTAAAACCATAATTAACCTAGATATACAAGGCCTCGTTTCGTGTCTAGTTATATATTGGATTATATAACTCATTAAATTTCATGTCTACATTCCATTTTGGTAGGATTTTAGATTAAGTTTCCGTATATCTTCAAATTGGACAAGATTCGGATGTTGGCATTCATTTCTGGCATTGATCCAGTACAATATTACTAGGCACCAAACAAGTCCTAATGCCGAAGGATTATGGAACTATCATATAAATGTTAGGCAATCTGAGTGGCTAAATTAGATGGAGCTAGTGTTTGGTTAAGCTCATTTGGAAGTGCTTTAAAATGACTGAAAATACTCTTGATGAAAGTGACTTTGGGTTTCAAATGTTTTTTTTTTTAAGAGTTCACTTACATTTTTACTAAAAATCGGTTTCAAAATTGCAAAAAACACTTTCAATCATTTGGCCATGTAACGCTTTGGATTTGAAATCTCCTGCGGTAGGTATGCAACGATTTGGAGTTTGGACCAAATAATCGAATTGGACATAACAAAGGCCAACTTTCTTTTAAGGCAACTTTGGGTTCAGCTTTTCCAAAAACTGTCCAAGTGTCTTGGCTTGGGTTAAGAATTTTAGCCCAAATTTATTTGGTGGAACAAAATTGTGTATCAATATGGGAGCAAGTGTCATGTATTTAAAGTAAAATTTGGATCAGTCTAAGAACTTTCATTCTAGTTTAGATTTGATCCCATAATAAGAGGATTTTTGTTTAACATACCGGTGTTTAAACAGCTAGAACAAGCCTCAAAATCTAGTCATGCAAATCGAGTCGGCTAATGTATCGAAGAAAGACATACGCCTGCGGATTGTTGAATTTTTGTATGGTACGACGTGAATCTTGAAGGCTGATTTGATGGGTGTGCTTCTGTTTAGTTGGCAGTTGGCACTCGACTCTCACTGATTGAGCCTTGGCCCTTGGCTGATATGGAGTCTCTACATCCTGTTGTTTAATGACCCTTAAGCATTTTTTTTTGGTGAACATGACCCTTAAGCTTTCACAACAACGAAAATGGTAGAAACTTCTGCCCCACAATCACTTGTGACCTCCCATATAAAAACGATGCATACTTGCTCTATGAAAACAATTACCATAGGGTCAAGATTTACACTGAATTTAGGGTGCTAGGATTTACACTGTCTTCGTGAAATGAAGCAGTTCAGTCGATTCGTCGGTGAAATTCATATGTTCGTCCATTCACGAGTCGTTTGTGATGTCTGCGAAATGAAAAGCAGCAAAAATATACAACTTCGGCTAGATTTGGAGTTTTTCTGGTTAAGCGTAGAAGCAGATACGAAAGGTTGACAAGAAAATGAGTAGTATGTACTTTTCACTGGTCGAGGGATCTGTCTACCATGTTTATGCAGAATCAACCTGTTAGAAGGTTGACAATTTCTTCTACTTACACATGATCGTGGCTGAAAAAGCTATATATATACCCCAACTACATATCAAGCTTTTCAGCGTTGAATCAACCTGAAGGGGTTCGCAAGCAAGGGCAGTTTATATGCCTAGATATCGAAAAAAGGAAAGTACAAGGCATGCAGGTTTTCCACAGAATCAAAGGATTAATAGAAGCGAGTTTAAATATTATAGAGAATTATGCCAAATGAACGCTAGCATAAGAAGTTCATGAGTCTATTTACAATGGAACTACGAAACTAGCCTACTAGTAGTACTAGGGGGCGTTTGTTTGCCTTCACTAATTGGGACTGGACTGGACTGGACTAGCTGTTAGTCCAATACCGTGTTTGTTCCATGCTGGGACTAACATTAATGAGACTAAATGGAACTAGCATAGACAAAACCCTTCACTAGGAGGTCTTAGCGAGACCCCTCAATAATCATGGGACTAGCTAAGACTATCCTCTCTCGTCCTCGTCATGCTCAACAACCACTCCCGATAGACTCCTCGTCATCTCCGGTCACCTAGATCATAATAAAATATTAATAATTTATATATTAAATAATATAATATTAGAATTTGTTATTATCCAGCTTCTTAGTCCAACACTGCACCAAACGCTTCACTAAGTTAGTCTAGCTTAGTCTAGTCTAAGCCAGTCCAGCTTAGTCCTTGAAGCTAGTTCAGTCCGAGATAGTCCGGCGCAACAAACGCCCTCCTAGTGTACAATGATTTGCCATGCAAATTGAAAGCCTAAGATCCTTCGGTTAAGGGAGGATCTTTATATGAAAATCTAAAACAAATAAATCAAGCAGATAGCTGCGGAAGTTCCATAATCACACCTCATCAAAGTCAAAGGACAAAGGTTACGGCAAAGGTGAATACTTCCTCGAGTCTGAACTGGGAAAGGCATTTAAGAGGAGGAAAGGGTAATAAAATAAAAGTCAAAGAGCACATACAGGATAACGTTTGGTGAACTGAAGAAGATGCTTCCGTTCAGTCTTCTTCTGGCGGCACGAGAATCTCCACTGTCCATGTCCGAAACCCTTGACGAATCACTTCTTCCTCTGGAAGATGAAGTTGAAAGGGAAACCATGAAATCGATTTCCACAGCTGTGTCCAGTTGGCTTTCTGAATTTATAACAGCAGTAATACTTGAGAAAGAATCTCTATCAGCAACTGGTGCAGGCTGCTGTGGGCTGAAGAAGATGCTTTCAGTTAAGTCTTCTTCTTCTGTGGGCACGAGAATCTCCACTGTCCATGTCCGAAACTCTTGACAAATCATTTCTTCTTCTGGAAGATGAAGTTGAAAGGTAAACCATGGAACAAATTTCCACACCTGTGTCCAGTTGGCTCTCTGAATTTATAACAGCTGCAATACTTGAGAAAGAATCTCTATCACCAACTGGTGCAGGCTGCTGTTGTTCTTGATTTCTATTATGGTTACGATAAAATGCCTCAACAAACCTTTCAGCAGAACTCAATGCAGACGAGAGAGAAGATTGTGTTGCTCTGTGCGATTGTGTCCTTTTGAGTAGCAAGGACTGAAGTTGGCGGTTTTCCCTTGTTTCAACACCAGTCACGTTGCTTTGCGTTAAATCCACAACATCATCTGCAAGTACCACTGGATTTTGCTCTCTGCGCAGTCCTCGAGATGTCAGAATCCTATTTAACAAATTAGTTCTTTCTGCTGCTTCCCAGGTATTCTCAGGCTCTGATGGATGAATAACATCCCGAGTCAAATCAAAATTTACAGGGTCATTTGACATCAAGCCAGCATCAGGACCAGGACCCAGATTCAGGTCAAGGTTCATTGCATCAGACGTCTCCTCACCCAACACAACCAAAAGGCTTATTATATCACAAATTTAACAAACCCAGATCAGAAACCCTAGCTTCACCACAAAACTGAAGAAACCCATATCACAGAACCACAAAAATCACCCAAATTGAACAAGATTGGGCGCACAAAAAATAACGAACAAATCCGTATGAAAACCCACAAAATTGAAGAAACCGAGATGAGAAAGAACCCTAATTGGAGAAAACCCAAATCGGAAACTTCATCCACAACACAGAAATCAGCAAGTCAAGCTAAAATTGGGCCATCAAGCTGGCGACTTGGAGACATTTTTCCATGGTATAAGTTTCTAGATGGAAATCCAGGGTTTCTAAAGCCGAGAAAACAAAAAACTAAAGAAAATTAAACACCTGTCATGGTGAAACGGTGTCGTTGATAATCAGCTAGAGCTGGAGTGAGCTCGAGAGTGAGTTGGATCCCGCCTGAGTTGAGTCTGCCCCGAGTCGACTGGTCATGAAGGGCCCTCTTTCTCTAATCAGCGATCTAGTACGGGCAATGAATTTAGGACGGGGCAGTGGGGCAGGAGGGGGAGAGAGAGAGAGAGAGAGAAGAGACAATCCTTTGCGTTGGCGTTTACAAGTGAAGGCTTTGTTTTGGAGGTGGTGATTGTGATGAACGGCTGTGATGGAATTTGTGGACCAGCTTGTACTGCAAATCAAGTGGCTCAAATTGAGTTTCCGCTAGGCTTTGGTTGGGTACTTGTAGAAGTAGAAAGTGATTTCCAAATGGAACTTTTATGTTGTTTCAACTGGTTTTGGACTGGATTATGACATGACATAATTCATAAGAGAGAGTAAGTTGGGTTGACATGCGGCCCATCATGAGTCGAGCACATCCGCGGTCTATTATGGACATCCCATCTAAATTAATACATAATTAAATATTAATAACTGATTTTTTATGTACAAACATACATTTTGGAGGGAAAGGGATCATCTCTGAATCCCTACCTCCTAATCCTCATGACCCACCAATCCGGACCCTTGAAATTTGATCTAACGGTTAAGGTTATTATAACTTTTAATGGAGCCCCTTGTTTTTAGCCGTTGGAACAAATTTCAAGGGTCCGAATTTGTGGGTCATGAGGATTAGGAGGAAGGGATATGGAGAGGATCCCCTTCCATTTTGGAGGGAATAAGACTTGACATTTTCCATAGAGTGCTATTATGCATGCTCACCTTTTCTATTTTCCCACCTTCTTTATATTGATTTGTCCTCTTTATGTTTTAGTTATAAAGTGGGTGAACATAGTATGCTAATAGCACTTTTTGTGATATTTAGCTTATACTTAGGTTCAAATAACTTCTTTTAACAATTTAAAATAACTAAAGTTGGGTGGCAGAAGTTGGCTTGTTTAGTGGCCCAGCCCTTTATGTGTCAAGGTCGCAGTTTGGAATGGCCTAAATGTTTTATCTAAATGGGAAGAGTTGGCCTTGCCCATTTATTAAGTGGGCCAACCCAACTACATCACGGGCCAAGCTAATTCGCTTAACACCTCTAGCTTGATATGTTTTAATTAATTTACACCCATATTACTAGGTTTTCAGTTTTTGTAAAGCACAATTTGCGAACTATATTGCTTAAGACCCATTTAGAAAAGCTTCTTTAGAAAGCATTTAAAGTGTTTCTTGAAAATGTACTTAAAACGCTTCTTGGAAAAACACTTAAAGGTGTTTATTCAAGAAGCACTTGTTGCAAAGACCAGAAAGTCAGCAGAAGAAACACTTGGACACGAATTCTTTAGAGCAGTTTTGATGTTGTCACCAACATCAAACCCTCGAGCCAAGTTGGTGTTGGGAGCTGCATCTTCCTTTCTTTGCAGTATGCTTCCATTCTTGTCTAACAAACTTGAAGCATCACATCCCTTCCCTGAAAAAGAAAATCATAGCACAATAAAAAAATATGAGGCTTCAATAAAAATTTATAAAGTATAACTTTAAGAAAGATTAGTAAGAGGCTTACATCGACAACAGTAATGAAAATGTAGACGGACAAGGCTTGCACCGATCCTGGGATCGGAAAGGAAAGCTTGCATAACGACATTGCACACAATGCCAGTAATATTCGGGCAAGTGGTGGAGTAAAAGGGTATATTGGAAGTGATGTAGACGTGAGTTGCCGCTATCACTTTTGGACATTGGAAGTGATGTAGACGTGATGTATTGCTTCTTCAACACACAATCACATGTGTGAGTTGTAGCTGTCACTTTTCCTTTGTCCCTTAATTTGCTCTTTAATTCATGGTCTTGTGTTTTATTGAAACTTGTAAGTAGGGTTAGTTGGATTATTTTTTGGTTCTTTATATGACCTAATATCAGGCTTTGTCTATAGGCCTTTAAGCCACTCTCAAGCTCTATATAAGAGCTTCTCCCTTGTACTTGTTTTCTCATGATGAATTATACAAATAGTTGAAATTAAAAAGTTCAATATGGTATCAGAGCAGGAACCATAGGGTCCTGTCTCTGTTGTTTTTTTCTTTAGTTCATTTTTCCTTCTGTTCATTATTTGTTGAGATGGCAGAAGGCAATCCATTCGGTTCTGAGAATACAAGTTCCTCAACCTCAACAACAACCAACATGATACACGGTGAGATCAATCCAAACCAACGATTGTGCTTAGTATTGTTGAATGTGTTCAATTATTTGCCTTGGTCACGAGCCGTCTCTCTTGCCTTAGGAGGAAGATCGAAGCTAGGGTACGTAAATGGAACCATCAAGCCTCCAGAATCCACCTCACTCTCTTTTGATGCATGGCACTCAAATGATCAGCTCGTAATGTCTTGGATTCTTAACTCGATGGAACCCAAGTTGTCGGAGCTCTTTAGCTATTCAGGATCTTCACACCTACTATGGGAATCTGTTAAGGAAATGTATGGCAGCCAAAACAATGCTGCTCGTGTATTTGAACTGAAGAAGAGTCTTGCTGGCCTAAAGCAAGGTGACCAATCCTTCGTTCAGCACCTTGGAAGCATGAAATCTATGTGGAATGAGCTTGATCTATACCGTCCACACACAACCGAATCCGCTGTGCTCTTGAAGAGGGCTGATGAAGATAAAGTGTTTCAACTGTTAGCAAGCTTGGGAGCTGAGTATGAAGATCTTCATAGTCATTTGCTAATGACCCCAAAATTACCATCATTCATCAGCGTGTGTCATGCAGTTCAAAGGGAAGAAACTCGAAGAAAGGTAATGCATATTGAGCCCAAGTTTAGCTCTGAGGCTAAGGTTTTCACTAGCAACCACAAAATTTCTGGTGAAAGATTTTTTAATGGGAAGAAGGCTGACTGGAAGTGCACATATTGCAACTTTAAGGGGCACCTACTGGAAAAATGTTGGATCTTACATCCTGAGTTAAAACCTAAGTTTGACAAGGAATGGAAAATGATCAAAGATGGAAAAGGGTTTGCTCCAAAAGCCCTCCGTGCAACTAGTTGTTCAACTGATGAGATGACAAACTTCACTTCAAATTCGATTTGCTTAATTAATGAATTTGCTGCCTTTCTCCAAAGAAAGAATGAGACCACTGAGAATGAAAAAATGATCACTGAAAACTCCACTGCCATGCTTGGAAAATTCGCTGGCTTTTGGCAAGTTCAGATACCACAACGCACGGCAATATCCTAGGTATTGTTAGTGCAATCTCCACTGCTCTCAATGCACATCTCACACATGATTTTTGGATTGTAGACTCAGGTGCCACTGATCATATAACTAATAAAACATCTTGTCTACATGAGTTTCAAAAATTAATTGATCCTACTCATGTATATGTAGCAAATGGTAAAGGGGAACTTGTTCTAGGAAAAGGAAAAATTAGGTTGATGGGTAATGATGTAGAGTCCACTGCACTTTACGTACCTTCATTTCCATTCCAGCTTTTGTCCATAGGAAAAATCATGCACACTTTGGACTGCCTTGCCATATTTTCTCCTCATAACGTTGTGTTTTAGGATCGAGTCACTCAGAAGAAGATTGGTGAAGGGTTTTTTCTAAATGGTCTATACTACCTCTCAAAGAATTTCAATCTTGTTAAGGATCCCATTGCCAACCTAAGTATGCCCAGGAGTACCAACTTTGGCACCAACGTCTCGTTCATCCCTCAGAACCAGTGATGTCTAAGTTATTTCCAAATTTTTGTAAAAGCACACATGAGTGCGAGACCTGTCAAATGTCAAAATCCACTAGGCTGCCTTTGTATCCTCTCAGTCTAGAACCAGTAAACTTTTTGAAGTTGTACACTCAGATATTTGGGGACCTTCTCGTGTTGAGTCATTCGATGGATACAAGTATTATGTCACTTTTATTGATGATTATTCTAGGGTTACCTGGGTGTATCTTTTAAAGTTTAAAGGTGATTTTTTTGAAGCTTTCAAAGAATTTCACAAACTAATAACCAATCAATTCGCCTTTACCTTAAGGTCAGAAAATGACACCGAGTATACATCCAATAACATGTCCAATTACTTGAGCAATCATGGCATCTTACATCAAACTAGTTGTGTTGGTACACCATAACAAAATGGTGTAGCCGAGCGAAATAATAGGAATTTGTTGGAGAAAACAAGGTCCCTTATGTTTCATATGCAAGTTCCCAAGAGATTCTGGTCCCAAACACTTCTCACTGCAACCTACATCATTAATAGACTTCCAACTCGTGTGTTGAATGCCAAGTCACCTTTCGAAGTCATGAAAGGAAGAACCGTCGATTTGACTCATCTCAGGATCTTTGGATGTACTTGTTATGTCCACATCCAAGCTACTCATCGTGATAAACTAGAACTTAGAGCTGTGAAATGTGCATTTATGGGGTACTCTAGTTCTCAAAAGGGATACAAATGTTATAACTCACACACTGGGAAACTTGTTGTCTCTAGGGATATTCGGTTTGATGAACTCACTCATTTCTTTCACAAGGATTCTGAGAATAATCTTCAGGGGGAGAGTCTAATGGACACCTTTCCACTGCTTACTCCTGGAGAAATTCATGCAAACCCCCCAAACCATATCATTAATTCCAACATGGATGAGGTGGTCAGTGAGGAAGTACCCAGTGCTCCAGCACCACAACCACAAGCTGCAACTCCACAATCAGTAGTAGCACCAAGAAGGAACCCTGCTCGAGATTGACATCCCCCGTTAAGGTTACAAGAATACGTTACGTACTCTGCAAGGTACCATATCTCTGAAGCTATTACTTACCAAAAATTGTCGGCCTCCCATGCATTATTTCTCAACCAGTTGTCAAACAATCTTGAGCCAAGAAGCTTTCAAGAAGCCGTATGTACACGTGTGTGGCAAAAGCCATGCATGAAGAGCTCAAAGCATTGGATGAAAATGAAACTTGGAGTGTGGTTGATCTTCCCAAAGGCAAGAAGGCTGTAGGGAGTAGATGGATATACAAGACAAAATTCAATTCCAATGGTACCATTGAGAGACACAAGGCTTGATTGGTAGCCCGTGGTTTCACATAAACCTACGGTATTTATTACAAGGAAACTTTTGCCCCGGTTGCCAAAATGAACATAGTGAAGGTGTTGCTATCAATGGCAGTCAATCACGAGTGGC